AGCAGGAAAAGGAAGGGTGTTTGTTTTTGAAAATGTTTGTGTTCATCTCAGGAACAAGTAGCTAAGCTAGTCTCCTGTATGCAGCAGGAACAAACATCGCTCTTCACCTTTTCACAGTTTCCAAGTCACTCATTCCTGTCAGCATTTTTTCTGTAAGATAGGTAACTTCTAAATTCTATAAAAAACAGCAACAAAAGAAAATTGTACTGCCTCTGATTTAGGGCAGTCAAATTCCTTCTGGAGTCACCTCAGCCTTTGCTCCATTTGTTGCTATCTCCATTGCCTCAGCTTCTTCCTTATGGGCATATAAAACAGGAATTTGGTTTCATCCAAATTACTGCACAGTAGGCTTTCTGATACCTCTCATTTCTTTCACTTAGATAATCACAAAATAGCAGGGCTCTCTTTCCTGAGAAGATGCAAGTGGTAGATGATTATTCTATGAACTCATTAGTATGATGAAGTGAATGTATATCTGCACTGGGTAGACATGAGTCAATCTCCACAGTAGCTGTATCATTACAGAATCTGAAATGTAATAATGAAAAAAGATCTCATTTAGCTAAAGGTTAAAACAAAGGTTTCTACCTCAAATGGCTTAACCATCTCATTTCAAATAATTTCAGATTCTTTTCTTCTTTTACACACTTCCACTGCTGCTTCTGCTAAAAAACAAAACAAAACCCAAAACCATTTTTGAGCGAGAGAGACATATATTCATGTTGAAATTTAACATTATATATTTATATTTATATTTATATTTATATTTATATTTATATATTTATATATACACAAAGAGGTCATTCTGGTCAATCCAGAGGAGTATCAGTGCATAAATAGATGATTGGGGACTAAATAAAGGTAGCAATACAGGTGTCCTTAATTGAATGCATATTTAAGTAGGACCAGAGTCTTAAACTTTGACATCTTTTAGTTCTTCAGTTTCTCAAAAACTCTCTCCAACTTTTTTTTTTTTCCCTTTCTTATAGCTGTTAATAAGCCTTCCCATTTTGACGGAATTTTTACATATTTCATTGCAGTGACTAAATGCCTTTTGCTGTTGTTTAATGGTGCATGGAATGTTTTATAACTAAATTAATTTGGAAAATGTCACCTAAGTGGTAAATCATAGCCCTTTGAAACTGTTCATGCAGTGCACATGGATTATTAATACTACTAAGATCAATTCACAAACACAAGGGCATTTAGTAATACAACTTAAACAACACTTTCAAGATATGCTGTATCATTTGGAAACAATGCAGAAAAATGTCATTGTTGCTGTTAACACGGTCAATGCTGCTCTGAGAGCATATTAACATTACGGTGTTTCCTAAGCAAGGGCTGACATCTCCCACCCAGACCAGACCTATCAGGGTGCCCTTAAACTGAGAGGGCTTACATGAGAAAGTCGGTCCCTTCCTTTCAAGAAAAAGCATCGAGCCATGCAGCAATTCTGCTGGCAGTCAGTGCCCCTGGCTGGCCCAAGGCCCTGGTCCTTGCCCATTGCACAGGCTGTTGGAGAAGGCTGGGGAGCAGGAAGGAGTAAGGCTGAGGAAAGGATCACTTGAATGCTCAAATCAGTTCCTTAAAAGCCTGAGGTGATATTCCCTATTGAGGCAACTACAAAAAGGTTGTGCTAGCCCAACTCAGTGAGCCATCACGTGCTGGCATTTGGAAAATATGCTCAGTGCCAGCAGGCTGTGTGGGGGATGGGCTCCTGCAATGAAGTCAGTCTGACAGCATCTGCCTGTTTGTGTTATGGACACGGTGCATGAGCTCACTGGCAACCTCTGTAATTGGTATGCACTGCATACAGAAAACTTACTCTTAAAATTTTGGCATAAAATATATGAAAATAAATATGAAAAAAATATATAAAAATAAATCATTACACAATGTGTAGGCTGCTTTGCTAATTGTACTTGCATCTGGATGCTCCTAGATTAACAGCTGTAAATAGCACTGTTTTGCATGCAGTCGCCACAGTTCAGAACAATTCTCTTTCATTTTTAAATTTTTTTATAGATTTTTCCTTGGGATGTATTTAAGCCAGAATATCAGGAATGCACTATGCCTTTTATTTTTCATTTTTTAAATCTAATCTAGCAATTTTTCAATTTTTATTAAAATCAATACCTTTAACATAAGTAAAAAAAAAAAAAAATGCTCATCTTACATTTCTTAGAGTCTTGTAGCAGGTTTGAGCTGAAAACAAAACAGAAAATAATTCCCTGTCCCCATACGGTTTTAAATTCAACAGACAAGCTGTGTCCGTTATCTCTGACCTGGAGCTGCCAAAGTAATTGCACTGAAGTTAACCTCCACAGCTGCTGCTGCACCCTAGAAGCACTGCAAGCACCAGAGGCTCCTACCACTCTGAAAAGCAACTATGTGTTTTCAGAGACGAGCTGGCATGATGCTAGTGACCAGAAACCCGTGACCAATTACAGCACATGGCTATGTTGTAGCTGCTCTTTACTTTCCAATCTGGTTGTAATTGAAGATTTACACACTTCTCATACTACTGCAAAGTAAGCACATCTCCAATTTATTGGACATAACACAATGTAGCTAGACAACACCTTTACAAAAATACTTGAAAGCTATTTCAGACTTACAAATATATAGATGTGAGTTCCTCTTCACTGGAAAATACAGAAATCTTATACAAGCCTCATTTTATTTTTTATTTTTTATAAAAATAACAGCAATAGACTGTAAATTATGTCCATCACACTCCTGATTGATTGTTAAATACAGAGCAATACTAACATCAGTCCAAATATGTCTCAAAGGTAAATATTAATATTTGGCTTTCTACAGAATTTTCCATCCAGAATCAAAAAGCCTTTACCAAGTGCTAAAGCATTACACACCCAAGTAATCCATGTGAAAGAAAGTAAGTGGGGGGGGACGGAGGGCATTTTTCAAATACGGGAATTGAGACACAGAATTTTTTTGATATTCCGAACATGAAAGAAATTCTCCATTGCAGGAGTTCCTCGTGTGTTTTTTTTAAACCTCTAGATTGTGATTTTTCTCTAGAATGTAATTTTGCTTTGAATGCAAACTCTTCCTAAAATAATATTTTCAACTTTTTTTTAATATCAGGTATTTTGCTTATACTTTGCTTATACAACTTCGTAATTAGCCAGATAGACACGTGACCTGTATTACTAAGCCTGAGAAAGGGTATGAGTTCCTATCTCCAAGTAAAATTTAAGTTCTATGTAACCATCACTATAAATTGCAGGTATCAATAAATCCAATGACAATGCTTTTGTGTAAAATTAGCATAAGAAGTGAATTGGACTGCAAGCAGTATGACTATATTGAATTGTGAGCTTTGAGATACAAAACTTCCAATTACATTTTTAACTGTAAAGCCTTTCAATTCTTAGAAATCCCTTGGCTAACCCATGGTGTGCAATGATGATAGTCCCAAAAGATTATATTACCACACATTGTGCATACTGCCATTGTGATAGAACAGAAGTGGACTGGTGCCTCCATAGCCCGATGACCTGGGCATTTCAGGCAATGGTAAATGATTGAAAAAAAAATATTTTAACAGTTTCTGCTGTCACATTTCTTTTATTTAGTAGCATGTAATTTAAGCAAGTGTGCTGTACCTTGCCTATAAAAGAATATATTTATGTTCAACAGCAAAGTAATTCCATATTTTATTATTGCAAATGTTGCTAGGATCTGGGAAAATGGTATGGAGCATACTCTTTCCTCTACTGAGTGGTCTTTGTCACTGTTCTGAAGGTCTGGTGCCACACTGCAGATATGACATCTCCCAATACGTCTAACAAAAGGACGGTACATACTTGTAATGGACTACCATCCACTAATCTCCAAAATTTCATTTCCTTTACTGAAAGCTTAAGTCATAATCCTAACTTCCTCTGAGCTGTACATGAGAATTATTTCCAGGGAAAGTGCATTTCATTCATTATAATGTACAAATAAAATTATGAAAAATAGAGGTTTGTAATATGTATTTATTTCTACAAAGGATAAGATGCATGGACTAGTATTGGGGTCTTCCTCAAAAAAACCATTACCTCATAAAACTGTTTGAGTGTATACAGGGATGCTATTATAACTACATCTGTTTGTGTGTGCATGTGTGCGTGTGTGTGTGCGTGTGTGCGGGTTTCTACACGAGTGCCTGCATATGTGTGATATTAAAATAAATATTTCAACTATACATGCTCAGTGTTCTTTAACTGTCAGAAAAAGTATGCATGAAACACTACTATTCATAATGACGGCTTTAATGTTACATTTAGATATGCCTGGTATCAGCTGCAATCAACTGCCTTTTAAATAGATATGTCTATTTGGGGCAATTTATAAAATTTAGATTTATGGTTTTCAAAGATCATGTAAGACTTAGAAAACCCAGTTCCTTGCAGTTTTCTTTTTTTGAAAAGGGATTAGAGATCCTATTAAATTTTAGTGCACAATCAGTCTTAGGCAGTTTTTAGTATACAATAGAATTGTATACCCTTTGAAACAAATTTCCTTTTAAACCTGTGTTGATAACAGTACTGCAGCCTATGAATTTTAGTTGTTTTTTCCTATGAGTGCAGTATTCTAAGTAAAAGCATTTACACACTTTCTGAACGTATGCTGCCATGTACATGCTCATTTGGTGCTTTGCTTATTCAATCAAATTTCAAAGAGCCACAATGGACCTGCCTGAATAAATCAAATTTTTGGAAGTGAGCTATGATGAGCACATTGCTCTCAACTGGATGATATTGCAGATTAGAGTCTCAGACTGGACATGAAACCATATAGGATATAAAGTGTAAAAGTATTACTGCATTTTTATCTAGTGTATGAAAAATAGGCATGTGTGGAAAAATGTACCTGTAATATGCAATGATTAACTTATGGTACTGTCCATAAAAGTGCATAACATAAAGGCCTCTGTACTACTTGGTCTGCCAAGTTATTTCAGAGCTGATGCAAAAATATTTATTGTGTCCCTAGATGTTTTTTATCTTGCATCTTGTTTGAAAGTACACTGCTGTGGAGTTCACTGATGGGGAGTTCTGGATTCCTGGAAATTTTTCTTTTTCCTGAGTATAGCAAAAAGAGATTTTAGTACTAAACTGGTTGGGTGGATATTTAAATTGAGCTGTGGGAAAACGCAATAGAGTGAGACTATTTAAATGACATTGTGAGAACTTCCTCACTGATATGCTTGAATGCTAAATTGGTAGAACCATTGTACCTGTAGAAGTGAAAGGGTAATTTAGTTTTCTTTCCCAGAAAAACATGATCTATGGCTAAAAGACTTATGATGTTATTTTTATAATGAGCACAGCTCACACCAGCAAGAAACTGGAATGTTACCAATTTTAAATGATGAACTATAACTAAATGAAAGTTCACCACTCTTTGGTATTCTTTAAACCTTGAACACAGTACTGTAGGAATGATCCAGGAAAGAAAATGCCAGAGTGATGGTAAAAAAAAACCCTACCTTCTGAGGACTATTTTCCACAAACAAACAAACAGCTACAATTTTAACTCAGTTATCATTAGCCATGCAGTAATCTTTTACTTATGTGCTTCTGCTCAAGCATCTGAAAGTCTATACTATCATTCTGTATACAAATAGCTTCAATATAATAAATTAATAGCACATTTATCTGAAAAAAATCTCATAAATTTTAAAGTAAAAAAATCTAAAAAAGACTTCTTTTTCTTTTTATCTTCTAAGGGGGAAAAGAGAATTAAATTAAAAACAAACCCGCTGTTCAACAGTCAGGTCATCATGACACAGAGCAGCATAAAACAGTAAATCTAGCAATGCTGACAATCTAGCCTGGCAGTATATACAAAGGCTTTTGAGCCATGGAAAGTTGGGAAGGCTTTGGATACTGGCTCTGTGGCTGCAAGCTGATTTATCTGAAGGAAAGAAAGGTCAGCCTGCCATCAATGGCATGTGAGACAACAAATGCTTATTTGGAGCTGCAGAGCTGAAAGGAGGGAGCACGGCCCACTGCTCTCCTGTTCAAGCGATAAGCAAACCTTATTTTTGTGCAGGTAGGAGAGGATGGGAGGAAAGGATCACTATAGATATTACGGTTTATGCTACTGATAACAGGAATAAAGATTTGGCTTTAGATAAGAATGCAATAAAGCAGCTGAGCTTCCCAATAAAACCAAATTATTGGCAGATGTTCTACGAAAACACAGAAAGTTTTTAGATTAGGTCTAACTTTAAAAAACCCTGAAGTTTAATTACTACGATTTGTCCTAATGCCTGCAGGCTTGACACTTGCTCTTCCATTCTATTTTGGGGAAGTAAAAAATCTCTTTCTCACCTTTCTGTTAGCTTCCTTGTTCAACTGCATTATATAACCTTTGAGAAAGACATTTCCATAGCTTAAAAAATGCAAGAGAGAACTAAAGCACTGCGAAGGCATTGACTGGTCAGAAAATGCAAACTGAATATTCACTTTTCTCTTTTAGATATAACACTAGAAAATAAAACTGCAGTGCAGCTGAAGGAACAGCTGGCGGCCAAAAATATCTAATATCTAATCTTTATTATACAACATGTAACAAGACTGTTCCAAAACCCCATGAAATCAACTGAAAGATTCCCAGACTACATTTCCCTATGTCATGGAACAGCTGTTAACTACCAACAACCGTCCTCCCCAAAAGACTGTCAAAAATGTGGATCCAGCTGAGATCTTTGAAAATGTGAGTTATGTGTTTGACCTGTTGAGTTTCTTTGCCCACAGCAGGTATGACAGTCAAGCAACGCCAGGCCACGCGTGAAGGGGTTGGCCAACCTGCTGGTGCTGGAACTTTCTCATTCTCTGTCCTGCATTGTTACGGTTTCCCAATTCCAAACACAGCTGGGGCTGCTCCAGCCAAGCAGTTTAACTTTCAAAACAATCTTTAAAAACTATAAATACTTTTGAACATGTTATGCCTCTAAAAGTTGAATAATGACAGTAGAGACCAAAGAAAGCAGTTGAAGACTTTGTGCTTTTGTTTGTTTGTTTCACTTAAATATTAGCAGAAGGCAATACTGAAGACCTTGGGTCAAATATGTATGAATTGTACAGAATATGAGAGGCTTAGCTTCAGGCAGAGCTTGCATAAGTTAGTGTAAGAATTAATAACTTTTAGTGTCCTGTCAGAAAAAATGAAATTATGTCTGCAGTCTGCAGGTCTAATACTTTTAAAACGTAATCAGGCACATCATAAACACCACACAGCAAAAACTTTTTTTGTCCACCGAAACCTCTTACTACTAGTATGCAAAAGGCAACAGCAGAAGATGCAGCCTTTTTTATACCTAGCTCAATATATAAAAAAGCATTAGAAGTTGTTTATTTAGACCTATTTGTAAACCTCAGGTTAAAAAATACCTTCATCTTGAAACAAATATAAATGCAGAGAAATACAGAAACTGAAAAGCCTCTTACACTCTAACAACACTCCTAGAGAAAAGTAGTTTGCTGATAGTTCTCTGGACATGGCTGCAGTGTTGCAAAGTCACAGTACATGAGATTTCTGCAGGAGAGGAAAAAGAAACTTGTGTTTTGAGTACTGTTAATGGTAGCAGTGTAGTTTGTAGCAAATGATGGTGGTAAATTAGAGACTAAAAGCAGTTTTACAAACTGGGCTCAAAGCTGGAAGATCTTAAATTAGTACAGTTTTGTCTAACTTTAGACAACTTAATAATGAATACAGGATTTTCAAATGATATAGCAGCCACTCCTGACATTCTTGCACACTGCATGATTTATCGTGATCATGATGCTCTGGGAATTTTTTCTGAGAGACAAGAGATCTTCAAGAAATAGAATTTGGAAATATTTTTAACCTTTGCTATTTATTCCCAAAAGACATCTGATCTTTCTTCTGGATGATGCCTTTGAGACAAATATAGTGCATTTCAGAGTAAGCTGCCATATTTATGGGACACAGTGACATGGCAGAGACTTTGAATAAATTTTAGGAATTGAGTAAAAGGCAGAAGTAGGCTGACCTACAGTACTCTTAAGGCAAGCATACTGACTGCTCCATTTTCTAATCTCAGAATTAGGATGTCGAGGAGTAATTTTTAGTGTGGGAAGTTTCTGTTAACAGGTTAATGTAAACAGTAATGTCTGTTTATTGAATGGTAAATCGTATGGCAATGTTTAACTTACTTATTAGAGAATTCATGAAAATATTTTTGTTATACAAAAGCTGGATGGTTGACATGAAAAACTTTTTATAACCGAGCTCCACAATTACTGAACGCAAAGCCAAACAAAAATGAAGAAACTAAAGCCTCATTATTCTGAAATAAAGAATGTTATGTTATTTATTAAAACATAACTGCTTTAAAGATCAAAGTTAAAAGTCAGACTGTACTGAGTATGAAAAAAATTGCTTGTCTCTTGGCAGTTAAAAATTATGAACCTAGTCAACTAAAAGGGAAGTCTGGTTATGCCATTTTATCTAGGGACATTTCTTTTCCTCAGCTCTAGTGGGTTTTGTACTACTATGTGAAAGTCTCTGAAATGTTTTTCCTGAATGGCTTTAGGAAATGATAAATAACAAAGATATCTTTAGATCTGCCTTTTAGATGGTAGTTCTTAGAATTTTTTCTTTAAAAAATCAGAACATAATCTTTACGAACAAATAAAATCATTTATGCTTTTAACGAGGATTCACCCTGATTTAATCAGGAATACTGGACTTCTGTCCAATGGGTCTGCAGTTCTACTTTGCTCATATGACAAGGACGTATCTATACACATCAAGTTACATGTGACTGACATGATGGATGTATCCAATATGTAACGGGGACAGAGCCATAAAGTGTGGCCAGCAAGTACCTCAGTATCTATCCTATCTCCTATATTGCTAGAGAAGTTTGATACCGTTTCTAGTGACTGGTAAAAATGTCTCATATTGTAATAGCCTTATAAATTCTTTTCGGCCTGTATCCACTTCTCTTTTGTTTGAATACATCTACAGTTTAGTGCCTCAAATATATGAGTTATTTTATACTCACCCCTAAGGTCATTTTTCAGTCAAATATTTCATTTCCATGGTAAAATATGACATTCTCCGTGAACATATAAAGCTAATTTAGTTCAGTTCCTCTCTTACAGTTACCCAAATTATAGCAGGATGCCTTTATAGCATAAAACATTTACCTCCACAAAATGGTAATAAAATGAGCCTAATGTGTTATCAAAAACTTTGTAGTCATATTTTCCATTTCTTTTTGTATTTAATCTCTCTATAATTTGATGTTAATGGTTGTTTTATTATTCAACATTAAGATTCAAAACATTAAGATTATTAAGAATTATACTCTCTGAAAACATTTCTATTTAAAGCTTCTGAAATGCAGAATTTTAAAGTTGACAAATTTAGGATTATAGCTAAGTGATTTAGCTTTAGCAAATGCCAGACTTTTAAGGAAAATAAACAAAAACGAAAGCCTAATGGGTTTGCATACACATTATTTCTGGCATAACATATGTGGACATTTTCATAAGCTTTCCAATTTTTGAAGGAAAATTGCGCTGAATGGTGCAGAAAACAGCACACTGAACTCAGAATTTCAATGCAGTATAAGCACAGACAAGAATGCACTTTACTTACTCTTGAAGATACTGCAGTGACATCTACTTAAATCTGGACAGCTATTTTGAAAGGATATTTCTGTGAGGCAGATTAGTAAGTAAAGAGTGAAATATCCATGAGAAAGTGTGGGCAATATATATTTTAATTCCTTCAAAAACTTTAGTATTACACACATGCCCACAGGTACTCAAGCACATAATGTATTAAAGTAAAAAGTTTACATCATGTCCTATAAGAAATTTGAAAATGTATAATATGTAAGAAAAACGTATAAGATAGCTGTTCTTAGAAATCTGAAAACTCTTTTCATTATCATTCATATGCATATCTAAAGAGCAACCTAGCCAAGTTTATAAAACATTTCCTACAACTGTTGTGATTTTTGCAGTAAAAGGAATCAGAAACTCACAATATGTACATCAAACTTACATGGCTTGTGTATGTTACAAGTTTAAAGCAATAGGTAGGGTAAGTATGACAAATATACTGAAGTTGCAAAATCTTGACCAAAATAAACAAACAAAAAATGACCTAGAAATCATCTCTATGATAAGAGAAAAGACATTTCACTTTTTGTGAAAGAGAAGAGGTTTCACCATCCCTGCCAGAATCTTGGGTAGCTGGGCAGCAATCACCTCTGACATCATCTCGGGAAATTCAACACTTAGTGCACGGGACTGGAGAAATGTGTTCAGACAGAAGAGATGGAGCTGTTTCACTAGCTGGATTTAATAAAATACAAACATGATAAATCAGGCTAACAGTAATGTAGTCAGATAAACATGCTGTTCATCACTTATACATCCCTCAGCTCACATCATTATACACCTGTATCATTATACACCTGTCTCTGTCATTCCTTGAATCAATAATGAGGGTACTCAGCATTCCCTCTCAAAAGATCTTCCCATGGCCAAAATCATAAATATAGCCAAGTGACATTTATATAAAAAACAGAGTGACTCACTACTGTCATTAGAAAGTATTAACAACTTCATTAATGACACACAACATGAACAATGGAACTTACTAAACAACTATTGAATCTTTTATTTTATCCTGATGTTCAACATTTCTTGATGCCATATTTTCTACATGCTATTCAGATATTGCTCTGAGGACAGAATTTATTATTTCCTTGTGAGCTTTTCCATGGTTCTGATTATGATCATATCTGGGTATGTCACAAACATTAAACTTTATAGGCTCCTGCCCTGTCAAAGTAGCTGCTTAATAAAATTGGCTCTTCTACCTCTTCCATCTTTTTTAACCAAGAAGTTCCAAGCTTTTAGCATTTTTTCTTTCACATTTGTGTCCTTTATGTTGTCAAAGATCATGCTATTTCTGTTACCCTAGGCCTTAAGACTATGCAGTTTCTCCAAGGTGATGACATACCTTTTTCTTGTGTCTCCCATCAATGTCAGCCTGAGCTGGAATAGGGACTTGAACTGTATGTCCCAAACACTATGCTAACCATCACTCTGCTTGATATTTTGCAGCAAGTCTCACTCACTTGCTCCATTGAGGCTACTTTGCTTTGCATAAGTATTTGAAATGAAGAGATTGACTCTACAGCCCAGTAGGCAAGAGTTCTCTGGATGCTGTGAGACTCAGATTGTAAATTCTTACTATAAGTAAGGCGAGAAGACCTTTTATCCCAAGAAGGATATACCTGAAGAGGCTTCTTGAGCACAGGGCTACCATGAGTAATAGGCTGGACAGGATTTGTTTTTGCAAGTATAAGTGATTGACTTGAACTCCAGCTGCAGGGAAGGGTTTGGCTCTGACAGTCTCAAGTGAAGACTGGAGTCTGACTACCATTAAATACTTAAAGTTAAGCTCCTCCTCCCATTCAGTATTCTCTATTGTCTGGCTTAGCATGTAAGGATGCTATTCTTACTTGTCTTATTCTTCTTGTGCTGTTATCTGAGAAGGTGTAATACCTAAATGATGAATATCATTTCTGTGGATGGCAGAAGTTCATGGAGAGGTTTGTGCAGTGGATCAACAGACTCCAAACTACCTGGTGAACCACACAATTATCACTATTACTACCTCTCTTAACTCGAACAAATGGGATCTTCAAGTTATTATGTTTTTTTTTTTCCTATCAAAAGGAGCAATTAGTAATAATAACAGGTTTTAGATGAATATCTATTTATTCATAAAGAATTAAAATAAAATGCAGATTTCACAAATGCAGAAGAATGCAAACAAGTAAAGAAACCATCTTTCTCTGAGATTCTAAATTCCTCTTAACCAGCACAGAACTTCCTAGTCTTCCTAGACAATCTTAGTACATTCCTCATGTGCTTGCTAAAACTGTCAAGTGTTGCCCTGTACCTCTGCTTTTGCTCTCTTGCAGAGATACACAAGCCGTTATAAAACAGTATTCACATGGATACAGGTTTATACAAAATGTCATTCATTCCTCAGTTTTAATAAACGTTAATGCTAGAATCTCAGGGGTGTGGAAAGGGTTCAGTTTCATCTTTTAAAACCATTATGAATGTCTATTTCATTATTAGAGCTAGCAAAGATTAGTCAGTTCCAGAATATAGCCAGATATTTAAAAATTGCTTATAATATATACGACAAGTAGTTCAATTACGACTGAAAAACAATCTTGATTGCCGTTCCATAATTCTTAGTAGCCTGACTTTAAAACTTGAATTGCCTATTATTTGCATTTTTAAAATGTTTTTAAGTGTTCACTAACATACACACACACCCATACATCCCTACCAACAAGCATAATTAATAGTAGCAGAAATAATGCAACAAAATGGCAGCACTCAAATGCATTTTTCTCGCACACTTAAATCTTCTATACCATACACTCTTGTATACAATATATATTTATTAATAATATATACATGTTCATACAGATATACACATTAAAGGAAAATTCTAGTTATAACAGTTTTTCATTTAGAAATGTTGACTAGTCACTTCATCTTTCCATAAAACTACTTTTAAAATGTATTACTTCCTTCTGACATAAAAAGCAAAACAAATTAACAAGTAAACTTACATCGTGCATGGAATCCATCAGTTTTGTAAGTTGATAAAAACGTTGCGAGTTGGCCACAACACCTTTCTGGCGCAAACCAATTGCTTTCACCAGTTCTCTAATGTAGCTCGTTCTCATCTCATCAAATTGACTTTGACTTCTTAGACCTTCCAAAGGAACTAAAAAAAAATAATTTGTTTTGTAATTTATTCTGAAAACAATGAGAGAGTTTTAAAATACAGTAAAATACAGGGCCAGTTTATACTGTATTTTACACTGTGCACTTTACTATTATGTAAGCACATATTTCCTCCTGTCAGGCAGTGACTGCAGAAACAGTGATACACTATAGTTGAAAGGATAGATCAGCAATATTCAGTCAACTCTGCTAGTTTTTGATGTCTAGAAACAGCCTTAAACTTCAGCTATACCTAGCTGCTGAACAGAAGAGGGCCATAAGGAGCACTCCTGACCTTAGGAAAAGCATTACGGATTGGCTCCTGTTTACACTGCTGAGGGTCAGCCCTCTTTAATAGCAGATTTATCTTCAAGAGCTCTAGCTGGAGCAGTTTAAAACGGAGCCAAAGAATGAACTAACTCCTTTTAAGCAGTGCAGATGGTAAAGGATAGCATGTTTACTATAAAGTAAGTAAGAAAAGTATTGAAGCACTCAGCTGGGCTACAGAAGTCAGGTTCTGACCCTCCACCTAAAGCAAAATCTAGATAAAAATAAAAGTAGCAAATAAAAACTGTGCAAGGTTTCACAGAAAGCAGGCTCATCCCAGGAGACCTAATAGTAGTCCAATTAGTTAGTCTTGTGTCATGTTAGATGACTTTCAGCAGCCAATGGAGACAAAATGCTAGACAAGGTGGATCTTCGGTTTGATTCATTATGCCCTCTCAAATCCAGACAGGCAAAGGAGGTATGTGAATGTGTGCATGTCACATCTCAGTTGAAGGCCTGAACAGAGGGGAAAAAACTTTCTGTTTTGTGGAGAATGCAATGTGCTTAGCACAGACCAGTAGGAAAAAGTTACGACATGAAAAATGAATAGCTTAATTTTTAAAGCTTAGGTGGTTCTGGCCATAGCTAACAGCAGAAGTATAGCCATTTATGAAATATTTTTCATAGAAAGTGAGATTCTAATGAAATTTAGAAACCTGTTTGGTTAGGTGGTTCTATCTTTAACTTAGGTTTCTAAAATAGCAATTAAGTCCTTACATTTCCCTTGTGAATTAAGTTAAAAGATCTCTTCCAGAAATGTATGGTATGTTTCACTAGAATTCGGCAAAAATACGGTCACATATATGTCGTATAACCACAATAAGTTCCACTAAATTATTTACGTGCAGAATTACAGGATCTTGCATGCACAAATTCAGCTTAAAAAAAAAAAAAAAGGTAGCTCAAATGCACCGTTCCTCTGAATATCCATGAAGAATGCTGATGCCTTTATTCTTTGGCAATAATCCAGCAGAAATCTTATGTAACAAGATTATGCAATTCCTGTAAATTAAAAAGTCTGGAAAATGTTAAAGCTAGAACTGAACATATTATATGCTTATTTTTCTCTTTTGTGGCACTGCTCTGCTTTCTTAAATTATATACTTTTTGAACTATTTATAGTAATACTTCCTAGATGTGTGTGCCCTTTGCTAGATGAAGCACTATCTAGAACTTCAGGACACTACTACAACACAGCATGTTACATGTAGTAAATAAGAACTGTAAAATGAAAAAAAGCTGCAGAAAATAAATGTTGGTCCACTTTCTGCAAGGATTAATTCTTTCAAGAAAGCTTTAAAATTGTCACAAGTACAATAAAAAGAAAGACTAAGCTACACCAAACTGAGGGGAAAAATGTAAATTTGAAAAGAATGCTAAAACTTAGCCTGGCATTTCCATTCAGTACTAGAAATGTATTGAAACTGACATTTAGTTATGTTTAAAACAAACTATTGTTTCTTTCAAATTATACAAAAAGCAAAAATTAGTTCATCTAAATAATAAATGTAAGACAGAATAAGAGACTAAAATTTGTGACTGGACTTACTGTTAGTATACGAAAACTTGAAATGGCCATACTTTCACATTTGAAGAGGATTAGGGTGAATACCATGACTAAAATAACAAAACTCTTAAACAAGCACTTTCTAGAAAGAATTAGGTTATATGGGTTTTTTGAGCATAGTTTTGTGGAAAGTATTATACTTTGCAAACTTTGGTACTGTATAAATGTCTCAGCAAAACTGATTAGCTGTGTTCCTCTTCCCAGAGATCTAACAAATTGTTTTTTCCTATAAGACAGGAAGTGCAGGAGAGAACAAAAAGCAAAACTCATCAGCATAGGTAGAATTTTTTTTAAATTAATTTGTTGCTTATATATATCATCTTAGAAATGAATTTCCGAGAGAAATGCAGCTGATAATGAATACTATTAAAATGATACACTCATAATTGAGAGAGAGCGGACCTTTGCAGCATTTTGGGAAAAAATACACTACGATTTGAGCTTTCTGGGATTGCAGTGGAAAGCGAGAATCAGAAATGTATATAAATTTCACTGAAATTCAAGGCTTATCTCTAACAGTCAGATAGACAAGGGAGTTCTTTTTCTCAGGAAACAGATGTGGAACACATTTAAAATAAGAATATGTTAACACCTTGATGCAATTCCAACAAAACAACTGGAGTTACACCAGAGAGGGATTATCCTCCACATTATTTTTATTTCTTTAGCAGAACGTATTCATTTTGCTATTACTTTAGTAATTTTTATATTCGTATGAGCTAATGTTACATTCTGTTGCTGGCTGATATTTTAAGCATGAGCTTACACAAATGCCAGCCAAGGACAGCTTAAGGAGAAATAAATTTTAGTTCCTTATCTTTTCCAGAAATTTTGCACAACCAAGAAATAGGTTATGCAGGATTCACATGTCTCTTCTCCCACTCAGTAGGTATGTAGAGAATCAAACTGCACCATTCTTACAAATAGAGTTTTAGGAGTTCCTTAAGGCTTATATATAGTAACAGCTGTACCATCTTAAAACTTTTCATCTGGGAATTCATCACTGACAATTATGGTCTCAGCAGACATACTTCTCAGTATTTTAGAAAGGGGTTCAGAAGAGAACTTCCTCCACTTCCACATTTCCCAGTTAAAGTGGAAAGCCATTGTGTGTGCTGGGATCTCAAAAAGATGTGTATGATAGGGTGATCGCAGATTTGTTCTTGAACAAACAACTAAACAAAACAACATTTCCATTTGTTGACATCCGAGCTTAGCTTGCCATTTTACAAATAAGAGAAGTTGAATAAATGTTAGTATTGTTGGGCATGCTCGCTTCTCTTATTTTTTTTGAGTAAGCATGCTTTAACTTCTTGGCTAGGATAAAGTCTTCAGTCAACAAATTTGAGAATTTATTAAATCCTTGTTTGTATTTCTCATGTTTGTAAGGAGTTTTTATCTGTGTAGACTCATCTAAACTGAAGACCTTCCTGGCTGAAATATTGTACACTTACTTTGAAAATGTACAATGTAGTATCGCTGTATAATGAAGTGCATTCAACATTTCTCCAGTGCCGTTTTACAGAACAAAACCAACAATGAAGCACAGATTATCTGTTCCTTATAAATATTCAAAAAATATTTTTAGGTCTTAGAAGACTAACATTTTTTTCCTAAAAAAGCTTTCCATTTGTTAGACCAGACAGCTTAGTAATTTTCAAGTTAAAAGATCTTAAACAGTATTGTTCAAAACTCTAAACTTTTAAATGTAATATGTTACACATAAACAAAGCAATTTTCTACCTACTTGTATTGAGAAGTAAAAGTGCTTTCATACATAGGAACTCTTCTTGGCTAACTTGAAGTCTGACAAATTCCTGTGGGAGCTGCCACATGGATAGACATAGTGAATAGAACGATGATTCTTTCATCCTCTGTCTTACAACCAGAAAAATTATAAAAAAAAAGAAAAAAAAGAAAAAAGAAAAGAAAGAAAAGGCTCAGCTTCTAATTTAATTATCACATCACTGAAACTAAGGGAAGAGATTATACATATAGAGAGGAAAAAAAAACCCTGCTTTTTCTGTACTTACGCCAGTTTTTTAATACTAACAAACTTCCTACTGTTTTAGATGTTTATGCTGTTGTTGCTGGTCAGAAAGAAACCTTGGAGGCTATCAAAGCTGAATGCTAACCACCAAAAAAGGGGGTTTTACTAATTAAAGATAAAATAATAATGTGAAATATGGTAGCATTATATAATAACGTGAAGATGTTTTCTTTTACAAGTTGGTAGGGTTTTTTTTATTCTTTGAAAAGAGAACATAAAATTTAAGATTGTTTCTTCTTAAGCCTGACAGGTTTTACAAAAATTTGCCATTAGGTTTTGAGAAAATGTCTGTATTTAATATGCATTAAAATACTTTGCTGCAAGTCTAAATAACATTTTACCAGTAACAGCAATGACATTATTTTGTAATATTTTATGCTGTTAAAGAAAGAGTTTAAAAATAATTAAAATATACAAAAAGAGTTTTAAATAAATTTAGATCCTAATACAGCCTTATCTAAGAAAATGTGTAAATAGGACAAAACACTTAGGCCACTACAAAAAATTGTTTATTTTTTGCAGCATTTAGATCTTATTTTTCACTTTGAGATTTTATAGTATAGAATATATTTTATTGCATATATTTATTGGAAAGACAGTTTTTAACTAAAATGACTGCAACAATAGCATTCTAAAGTTTGTAAACTGAACTGAGCTCAACTTACGTTAACCTGAAGATCCAATAACATGGGCTAATTTTACAAAGCTGCATTCTAATCTGAATTAATTAGTTGCAACAACAAAGATAAGATTAAATTTTGCCCCATGAGACCAAAGGGAGTTTCGTCACTGGTTACAAAGGAAACTCTAACCTTCAGAAATTCATATCAGGATTCCAACCTGACTGCAGACGTTATTCCCAACAATGAAACCAGAAGATTTTTTCTATGCCTAAAAGACTCTTCTCAATGCATTGAGGTTTTTTTCTGCTGTTATTTTAAGGCGTACTGTTATCTCAAATGAAGTTTTTTTCCTCCCCAAAATGTGAACTGTTGCACCAGTTTTTACATGAGTTAAACATAAACTTTTGATCTGTTAGATTTGAATGGACTGGCTATTTCCATACCTACTTTAAATATCCTGTTTTAATCTTTCCTGCTATTCCCTATTTCCAAGTGATATCATCAGAGGGTGATACAAACTTTCAGTATTTTGATATTCCTAAATGTTATTCTTAACCATATTTTCAGGGACTGGAAAGTATAAACAAGAGTAAAACTTTGTAGTGATTTAATATTAATTCATGAAATCATGACAAACTGACAGTACCGGCTTTCTCGGTTCAGAGTACTGACTACTGAAGAAGTCATTCTCAAGGAGCACCAAAACTGACTTCTGGAAAATTTCTCCAAGTGACAGATTGGTTGTGAAGCAATCTTTGGATTGTGATTTCATGGTCATTTCAAAACAATTTAAGCGTGGGTTGCCACTATAGAAGGAATTTCCAGTATCTCCTCCCACCTCTAGGTGTACACTCCTGCTATTCTGGCATTACTGCCTGTATGCGCATATGATAAGTCAGAGCAGGGAACAGCTCCATTTGAAAATTAATTGCTTTTTCTAGGCATTTTTTCAAATATACCAGTTTCCTTATCTGTTTTACAGTTCAGCCAGCCAGCGTCTGGTCCATCATAAGGAAAATTATGGGAATGCATGGCCAGGAGCAGGCAGGTGGGCGAGGCTGCCATTTTTGACAGTTTTTGGCAGTTACCTTGGCTTAAAGTGATTATGAAAGTACAACCTTAGATATCACTGTAGACAAGGAAAAGGGTTACATTTTACTGATATAAAAGCCAACTTTTTTCCCAAGAAATAGTTGCAGCTATGATTTAGTGTACCATTTGCTCTTTCTTTCTAACTCTGTCTCTAATATTTCAAAGTCGACCCTGCTGGCATGTTCTGCAATTGAAAGAAGGGTGTATCATCAATCTATCTTTCTCAACACAGATAGACTTGGGGTGCAAACATAAAGCCCTCTCTCAGGGCTTATCATCAGAGGTCAAAAATATCAACCCTTTTCTGGAAGAAAGTACTTAGTCTTCTTCACCAGGTGGCAGCAGTGGTCCACATGTACGGTAATACTTCAGGACCTGTTATTACTGCCTGAAGACATCTCAATCTGTATTTCCAAACGTAACCACAAGATAGATCACAGAGTATGCTGTGACAGAATATAGTGAGAAGTTCTCTCACTCTCATCCCTTCAAAGTGTTTCAATTTGTACAGCACAATTAACATACAGGGGACAGGAAAGAATTCATTACCCTATAATCTCATGGTGACTTGCAGTCATCTGAAAGAGAAAAGACCAGGAGCTGTAGAGCATGATCCACTAAATATCTTCTATAAAGAACATTGCTGGCAAAAAACTAGATGTGTACAGATTTTAAGTTCTTTTCAGTGGAGAAGACAATTGATTGGATCCTTGAAGCTGATAATTTTGGATTTAGGTGCCTAGGTCTTTTGCAAACACGTCTCTTAATCCTTAAACTGACATGACATATGAACACTCGCTTAATTTTTATCTCACTTTATACTGGCTCTTTTAGGGTTTTACGAAAAAATAAATAAGAAAAATATATTAAGGAAAAATAAATATAGAGAGAAAAATATATTTTACTATTCATGAAAACTTACTGTGTATTATATCCAAAGTATCAATATCTTTGATAATACTAAGTTGCTGAACTGAAAAACTGACAAAGATAGAAATCAAGGTTATCTGAATTCATCGACTTAGTGAAGGACAATCTATACCAACAATCTCCCTAAAACAAAAAGAACCAGTCTCAAATATTTTGTCCTTAATATTAGAACTCCTCCTAGAACCAGTCTCAAAATATTTTATCCTTAATATTAGAACTCCTTCTTGCTAAATTAGTACAACTTTCTAACAAGAAATATGCTTTGGAAGAAAAGGGTTTAATAAGAAAGTGTCAGAACTGAATGTTTTAAATTATATATAAACTATTTGCAAATTCCTCCCCCAAAAAAGTGACCAAAAATAAATTCCAATTAGTTCCATTTATTAAACATGATCTCAGAAATGTCCTATTCACATAAATTCAGGTCAATCATGCTACAGCATGATTATCCTTTCCCTTTCCTCCCTTAGGTAATGAAAATATTATCAGAACTCCTTCTGTTTGGTCACCTCAGTAGAATATTTGGGATTCCCATACAATCCTTCCCAAAGTTACTGAACTTTGATATGATCAGAGCACTTTCCTCTGATGTTAATTTTGAAACAACAGAGCAAATACAGAATGAAATCCTGGCCTCAAAGAAGTTACGCTCTCACTAACGCAAATAAGTTCAGAATGTCATTTATATTACACAACAGCAGAGTCTACTTACTCATTTAGTATCAAATCTGGTGCAAAATATAACATCTGACCACTGACATGTTTGTATGATCTCCATCCCATTGCAAAAACCATTAGACTCATCCAGGAATACTGGATGAGGGTTATCTGATCATCAATATGTAAATTTCGAAAGCCTGGAAATGAAATAAAAAGTTAAATTGTTTTGTAGTTCTTATTTAGACAGTAGCTGAGTAAGTGTTCTTTAGATCACAGTTTTGTGCATAAGCTCGTAAACTGGGATTAGCTAGGAAGCTTTGTATAGCTAGGAAGGAAACTAGGAAAACAAGTACTTTTGAGGACGTAGCTCTAAGAAGCTTGTGAAGTTTGTATAACAACTGATTACTTCATTCTAATAGGTAAACCTCTTCTTTTTTTATTCCAATATTTTGAAATGATTAAATCAAAATTAACTTTAGCAGTAAGCAGCGACTGAATTGTATTTATATTTAGGAAATAGGAAGGCGTTTCATTTTCCTTTAGTAAAAGTATTATTAAATCAACACTGTAATCAACTTCTATTTAATAAAACACAGATTTCAGTGTTCTTTACAAGAGATACAGTATAACCATTGACCTACGAATATCTTTCTTGCATTTAATTACAGAGAAGTGTTCTCAGTTGTGAATCAGTGGAAGACGATGTATTTATAACCTTTCCTCTTTCATAACTTTTGAGGATTGTTATGAGGCAGCAGAGTCAATCTAATAGCTTTCTGCTGCTGAAAGTGGTCCATTACCTAGTCCTGCTACCTCTTTCAAGATACCTCTGTCCTTCATGTTACCCCTCAGTGAGCCGATTCAGCTCATGAAGCCATCAGAAAATTAGAGGAGGAAAAAAAAATTTGTTTTGTTCTCACTTAATGAGATGAATCAGTTCAACTAAGAGGTCAGACAAGAGCAATATGCACTGGGAAGAGCAATTGGGACGACCCCTTCCTGCAGCAGTGAAGTGTAAACTTGTACTCACATGAAATTGTATTTCTAGGCTTTCTGCTCAACGTATTGGCCTTTATAAATCCCAGCATTAGGCCCCTCCCTATAAGCATACGGAGCCTGCAGATATATAACTTTTTTTTTTGTCAGTCGGCCCTCGGTCTTCACAAATTCAGTTACTTCTGGATAATAGTCTATTTGTGAGGTGCTTAGTCCTGGTTAGGACCAGTACTTTATTTATCGTACTTTTTCTCTGTTTCTCTAAAAATTCATTTAAACTGGAATGAGAATAGAGAATATTCAGAAATATAAATATTCCTAGGCCAAAAGAATGAATAACAGAGTAGAAGTGGGTAGAGTGGAAAGGCTACTAGAAGGATCGCATACAGGAATACTGTGGGCTTTTGTTGTTGTTTTTTAAATGGCTAACTATTTAGAGGTTTTTCTTTAAGAAGGCTCTCCTGTTAAAATGTATTTTATTGGTGCATAAATTATCTGATGAAGTGGAAGCTTAATCCTTCTACAGCTTGTTAAGAATTAAGTAATATGCAGATAATAGATAAACAGTGTACTCTTTTGACTGCTCGTCCTATGACATATTTGCTTAACTAGAATTCACTACATATAAGAAGTGCTATTACCTGGTAACAATTTAGACCACTTGACTACACAAAGAAGTTGCCTCTCACAAAGATGATTTAGACTGGTCAGCAAGGAACTTGGTGTTTCAGGCTTTGTATTGTCATAACCAGCATAGACAACTTCTGGCTCAATACCTCGTAAAACACTTATCATTGGGGGAACAAACTGTATTTCTTGATTTGGAGAAAAAGACAGCCTCTGGGTTAGAGATTGGTTTTCATCTGGAAGGGCTGCTGGCTGCTGGAGTGCAACATCTAATGTTCTCATCACCTTAATCTTGTTAAACTTTTTAAATTTTCGACCTGAAAAAGAAAATTGTTGACCCGTTAAAAAAAATTAACTAGAAACAAACTTTTTCCAGTAATGCTAGATAACACTTTTAATCTGTGCAAGGAAACTAGAACTGTCTTCTACATAAGTTTTCTATTTTTTATTTCACAATTTACATAATTTTTAAAAAATGATGGAAAATTCTTAGTTTCCCCCTTCATATCCTCCTCCCCGCACTGAGAGACGAATGAATCCACCCATTAAAATTATTGCTGTGAATTCTAGGTTACAGTAACCTGATAAAATGTTTCCTGGTTCAGTTCCCACTGTTCTATCATATGCTGACAGCTGAGCCAACTGGCTCTACGGTTCAGTTTCTGTTCAGTGTTACTTAATGATACCATTTCGTTTTCTTTCCTCTAATATTCAGAAAAAAATGTAAGTAAATTAATTATTACACATAGAAATCACTTTCTTCCCAGTTCCGAAAAAGCATTTCAACCTCATGGCTAAATTCTATTTTGATGATCTGTAATGTTACACTTCTTGTTTACCAGAAAGAAAACAGAATGCAGTGATGAGTGAAAAGTCAACAAATTGTGTGAAACCACACATCAACACTTACAGATCTCTTCAGTTTCCAGTGAATAATTTCTCTTGTTCAATAATTGTACTTCACATTTCCATGCTGTAGTGGTTTGAAGAACACTTACTACAAAATAACAGCTGAACTGCCCCCTAAATAAGCACAAATACTGTGTCTAGTATGGCTATGTAAACATATAAAGATCTAGGTAGTAATTCGTCAATTTTTTTTCACTGAAACATTCTGGAGGACCCAGGAACTTGAACCTTCCGGGGTTCAAGGACAGCAACCCTCAGGAACATATTACCACATTACACATCAATAAAAAGACAAATCCACGTAGAGGTGGCTGCATGAAACGCATTCACTTTAAATAGACCCTCAAAAGTGATGAAAACCCTAGTAAAATAGTTCAGTTCCTCAGTCCTGCCAAAGTTGGTTTACTTAGTAAAAAAAAGGCTGTCAGAACAAATAAAAAATGCAATAAAGTTGCTGATATTTATGGTCTGATTTACGTGACACTGGGTCAATAAGAGAAAAGATGCAGTGTGACAGTAGACAAAGAGTAAGTCATTCTGCCTTTGAAGAATAAAAAGCTTACATTTCAACCTTAAAGAAAACAATGAGGAAAGAGAAGGTTATGCTGCAAGGAAACTCAGAAATCAAATGGATATTTTTACTTTCCTAAGAGTTTTTGCATACCTAACCAATAGCAGAAAGACAGCGAAACCCAAAATTTCACTCAATGAAAAGAAAATCCATCCCTATGAAAC